TCGCTCCTACCGACCCGCGTGTCATTCACTATACATATCCCAAACACTGGATACCCGCCCTCTTCGTCTGCGATCGTACCCCCTTTGGGGGCGTTAGATTCCTTCCTGGCCACGTGTAATTGAAGAAACCCCTAAACAGGGAAACGAAAGGGAAAATACAAAAAGTCTCAGGTGGGAGACGTTGTTGTCATAGCCCAGGGGAGCAACAACGCAGTTTGACCCGGATTACATTGTGAGCAAGTCTCAAACGGGAGCGCCGTTCCTGAGTAAATCCGGAGGAAGTCTCAGACGGGAGGGGGGGTCCTGAGTAAATTTCAAGGAAGTCTCAGGCGGGAGCCGTTGTGGTTGTAGCCCGGGGAGCCAGGGGCGCAGTTTGAGCACCAAGACTTCCCCTGCCAAAAAAAGCAGGGTGCGAGCGTCGAGGGGCCCATTCTGATTTAGAAAAAAACAATATGCATCAGTGAGGGGGGATCAACAAGTATTCTTCAGAAGTGAGAGTTCAACGGCGGCGGCGGCGGCGGCGACGCCGACGACGAAAACCTCACTCCTGGGGCGCTCTCTGACCCGATCTCCGAGGCGGACCCAGCCGCGGCGACGCGGGCGCCCCGGGAGAGCCCCCCCCCGACAAAAAGATGCTAAAAAGCTATTGCTGGCCTCGAGCCTCCTCCTCCTCCTCCTCCTCCTCCTCCTCCTCCTCCTCCTCCTCCTCCTCCTCCTCCTCATCTCCTCCTCCTCCTCCTCTCTCCTCTCCTCCTCCTCCTCCTCCTCCTCCTCCTCCTCCTCCTCCTCCTCCTCCTCCTCCTCCTCCTCCTCCTCCTCCTGCTCCTCGTCCCTGTCGTTTCCAGGGCCCTGTCGTTCCCAGGGCCCACTACGCGCAAGGCCGCGGTCCTCGAACGACGACGACGACGAGGCCCGACCGCGGAGGCAGCTGTCTGCCGCCAGCGCCGCGCAGCTTGGCAAGGTCGACGGGCGGTGGCGCTCGCTGCCCTCGAAGAGGTAGCGCTGGATCTCGGACCACTCCAGCCACCGCCAGGCGTGGATGTACTGGGCGCGCAGGCTTTGGAAGTCCCAGGCCCCCGAACGTCTTGAAACATATCCGCCGCTGTGTACCCTGGCACCTTGAGGAGTGGAAGAATGCCCAGGTCTGTCTGGTAGATCCCTGAATTCTAGTGAGGGCCCCACAATGAGGGCCCGCCCTCCCTCTATTCGCAGACTGCCGCATTCACCGCCGCTCCTTTCCGAGACCGCTTCCCTAATGCTTAAACCCCCTCTTCAACGCGTGCCCGCTCGAGGATGGTGCACTTCCCGCATGGCAAGGAATTCCTGAACGCTCATTCCATGCGCGCCCGCTAGAGGATTAGGATTGTGCACTTCCAGTACGACAGCTAATGCCTGAACCCCGCTTCCACGCGTGCCCGCTCGAGGATGGCGCACTCCCCGCATGGTAGCTAATGCTTGAACCATCATTCCATGCGCGCCCGCTCAACGATTGCGCACTTCCCGCATGGCTGTTACCTCCTGGACCCCTCATCCCACGCGCACCCGCTCAAGGACCGTGAACCTCCTGTATTCCCAGACGCTGCTCCCAAGCGCTCCAGCGCCTCACAAGCCACAGCTTCTCGTTAGAAGCAATGAATATGCGTCCCGAGCTAGCAAGATTGCCCGTGCAAGCAACCAAGGACACCAAGATGGCCCAAGATGCCTCGAAGGAACCCCAAGACGGCCCCAAGGCGGCCGAATGCTGCGCAAAGACGGACGGCCCAGGATGCCCCCAAGAGGGCCCAGTATGTGTCTGCATATACCTGTATGCGTATATGTATGTGTGTGCGTGTGTGCATGTGCATGTGCATAAATATATCTATATATATATATACACACAAATAGACATCTATACATATCAGAGAAAAGAAAGCCGAACGGCCTTACGCCATCCTGGGCGCCTGGCTACAGTGGGATTCCGCAACGCGGATTCTGTCTGCTGTTTCTTTGTTGCTGTCGTCGTCCCGCCCGACCCCCCCGCGACCCACCCGTGACCCGCCCCACGACCCACCCCGCGACCCACCCGCGACCCGCCCCACGACCCACCCGCGATCCACCCGCTACCCACCTCGCGACCCGCCCCGCGACCCAACCGCGACCCGCCCGCGATCCATCCCGCGAATCGTTGGCGGCCCGATACTTGCCCGATCCGTCCCGATCTCGCGATTCGATCCAGCTCGTCGGGTCGGACGAAGGGGGAGGACAGGGAGAAGGGGGAATGGAGATAACACGTTCGTCGTTCGTCGATCAGCTTGCGTCTCCGAGGTGCCGCCGCCAGGGAAGGCAGGTGAAGGTAAACAGCCTTGACCGCACGAAGTTCTACGGATGCCTCAACTTCAACACCACCATGAGGTGCAAGGGCACGCGCAGCCGGAACATGTGGCAGCAGATGTTGCGTGCGGGTGGCCAGGGCGGCTGCTCGTTTCGCGGCTAAGCGAGGGCAAGACCGTGGAGGGGGCTCGACGTCCCTCGAGTCAGGGCGCATAAGCCGTCCTGAGGATCCTCTGAGGTCAGCAAGGACGTGGGTAGCCATGTCGGCAGTATCTCAGACGCGTTTTGCTCAGACTCTGGGCCGCCCCCAGACTCTCGGGGAGGGGGGATTTGACCAATTTTATCCTTAACCTCCTCACCTTCCGATCCTCATCCTCCCCGTCCTTTCTTCATTACGTCTCCCTCCCTCCCCTCGTTCTCGATATCTGTATGCATACACACACGCATACATACACACATACAATTGTATACATGTAAATATAATACATATATGTACACATGCGTGTACAAATGTGTGTGTGTGCGCATGCAAATCTGTATCTATATATATATATATATATATATATGTATATATATACGCACGCGCGTATATACGCGTGTATGAATGTGCGTGGTTGCACACCCATAACTATACACATGTTTACATAGACGTGCGCATGCATGAATAGATGTGGTTATACACATCAATGTTAATACATACATACACACATACATACATACATACATACATGCATACATGCATACATGCATACATGCATACATACATACATACATACATACTACAACCATGCATACAGGCATACAGGCAGACATGTCCTCATACATACATACATAAGTAAATGCGTACGTACGTACGTATGTACATACAGACTTACATACATACATACATGTAAACATACATACAGACAGACAGAAATGTGCATCTGCTTTCATACATGCATACATGCATACATACATACAGATACCCGTGTATGAATAGATATGTATGCGTGTGTGTATGTGCATGTTTACATCAGAGAAAGAGGGCCGAACGGCCTTACGACATCCTGGGTGCCTGGCTGAAGAGGGATTCTGCGGCGCGGATCCTGTCTGCTGTTTCTGTGTTGCTGTCGTCGTCCCACCCGACCCCCCCTCGACCCACCCGCGACCCGCCCCGCGACCCACCCCGCGACCCACCCGCGACCCGCCCCACGACCCACCCGCGATCCACCCGCTACCCACCTCGCGCCCCGCCCCGCGACCCACCCGCGACGCGCCCGCGATCCATCCCGCGACCAACCCCGCAACCCGCCCACGAGCCGCCCCGCGACCCACCCTCGACCAACCCTGCGACCCACCCGCGACCCACCCGCGACGCAACTGGCCCGGCGGCCGCCAGCGGCCCACCCGCGATCCGTCGCGCACGCTTGATCGGAGAGTTTTTCGCATCGTAAAAGACGCATTCTTTTCGATCGAATGAAATTATCATGTTATGACATGGCACTGGAGCATGGGGGGGAAACGATTTGGGGGACGAGGAACGACATGGGCTTGTGAGAGCTTGGGCCCCTGGGGCCCTCCATCCTTCTCCTCCCCACCCTACCCCCCCTCAACCCTGAATCCTCCCCCTCCCAATAGCCCCTCCCCCCTAAAATTCCACGAAAGAGGAGGAAGAGGAGGAGGAGGAGGAGGAGGAGCAGTGTAAACCCAGAACCCATCAACGATGTTGGAATAGACCCTCCTTCCGAGCTCCCTCTTCAGAGACCCCTACCAGGAATCATATCCACTGAACGCGGTGCCCCGTTGAGAGACCATCGTTTGAAGATCCTGAAGCGCGCGAAGACACCACTCTCGGGACTCCAACGCCACGAATCAAACTGATTGTTGAGTCTTGACGATCCTGAATCGCGCCAGAGCACCAGATTTGGGACTTCAGCACTGGGAATCAACGTAACTGTGGCGCCTTGACACTCCCGAACCGTTCCAAAACACCACTCCGGTACGCTGGCCATGGGAATCCGTGAAAACTTCGCAAATGTTTACGACGAGTGTGCGCAGCGCTAGGGCGAGAGCCACATTTTGAAAAGGAACCGCCCCCAATCCGCGAAATTCGTACAATGTTTCAACGAACCTGCGCGGCGCTAAAGCGAGAAAACGGTCCGCCTTCAATCCGTCAACGTCTTGCGAACGTTTGCAATGAATGTGCGCGGCGCTAAGGCGAGAGCCACATGTTGAAAACGACCCGCCGTCAATCCGCGAGGCTCTTGGAAAGTTTGAAAAAGAATTGGCGCGGCGCTAAAGCGAAAGCCACATTCTGAGACCCACCCGCCCTCCATCTTTGAAACAGCGATCAAATTCTAGGCTGCACGATCATGATCGGTAGTGAAATCTCAAGCGAAACGCCCTGCCCGCCCGTCTGACTAGCCTCGGGGCGCGACAAGGAGTTGCTCGTAAGGAACAAGAACGGAGGAAGAAGGGGACAAGGGCCCCAGCGCACTGAACAGGCACGTCCGCAGCTTCAGCTCCCATGGGGAGAGGAATGGGGAGGACGAGAGCGAGGGCGAGAGCGAGCAGGAGGAGGATGAGAATGACGCGGAAGAGCAGCAGCAGCAGCAGCAGCAACAGCAACGGCAGGAGCAGGAAGAAGAGCAGCAAGACGACGAGGAGGGCGAAGAGGATCGTCCAGCACAGCTGCGCACGGGGCGGCTCTCCTTCAGCGGCCGGACTCCGCTCTCGTCCGGCCCGTGGAACTCGAGGCTGGCGCGACGACGCGCGCGGGCGCGGGCGCATTCCTTGCGACCCGGCAATGGGAGACGGGAGCAGAGCGACCCGGGCCATCTGACCGCCGCCAACCGCCTCCTTCCTCCTCCTCCTCTTCCTCCTCCTCCTCTTCCTCCTCCTCCTCCTGCTCCTCCTCTTCCTCTCTCTCTCTCTCTCTCTCTCTCTCTCTCTCTTTCTCTTTCTCGCAGTGCCCCGCAGCGCTCTCAACCAGCCGCGCCACCCGGCCCGCGCGCGCGCGGCGCGCCGCGGCGTGAGGCGCGGGGCCCCCACCGACCACCTGAGGATCCGTTTCCCGTTTCTGGGGGGGGGAGCGGGAGGATGCAACCTTTCCATAACCCACCTGGCGTAAGTTGGCGGCGCGCACAAAGGGGTGGATGGAGGGGGGAGGCTTTCTTAGAAGGAGGGTGCTTCTTAGAAGGCACCGGCCTTCTAAGAAGCAAGGGTGCTTCTAAGAAGTCCACCCCCCTCCTCCCCACGCCCTTCTGCGCGTGGCTGAATAAGGAAAAAAGGATGCAGGTAAGGTGAGCGGCCGCGACACTCAAGTGCTCGTGCTGCTGATAGCGGCATCGTACACGGTCGGTAACTGTGAGCTCGAGAACACGTGTCTGTGGCGCTGGGGTCCGAGTACAGAGGCATAGGCGCAACACTCGTCCGATATGAGTAGCGCAATCAACATTCGACGCAATGGCAGAATGCGTATGCAGGCAATCGCGTAAACAAATGCGCGCTAGCGTACCGTAGTTTGCGGACTCGGGTATGCCGGTCTCACTGTAGCTATTGCGCCATCCGAGCGTAAACAACGTCGAACAAGACTTCGTCCTGGACCCGGTCGGGAAAATATGTGGCAACCCCTGGCTGATCTTTAAGAGGCTACGAAATCTTATAGGCGCTCGAACATGTAGCTACTTTGCCAAACTGGTAGGCTCGAGCCGTTCCTTGGCACATGATGGCGAGCCGCTTCTCGGCGCACTTGCCGACAGGCTCGACGTTGGTACTCCTGACGCTGATAGCCGCCGATCCCGATCGGAATGCCCAGCGCTCCGTAATGGTATTGCATTGTGGCGATTCTGGCGTTTGAGCCAAACGATTCGGGCTGGCACCCCCTTGTGGTAGTCCTGCGTGTTCTGGTGCTCTGGCTTGTTCCTCTGCCCGTGTCCTTTGCAAGTCAGCTCGCCGCCTGGATAGCCATGCAAGAGGCTCTTCTAGCTCTGCGAGGGGCCCTCGTAACGCGGCTCGCTCCGTGGCCCTCGTAGCTCTCCGAATGGTCCTCGTAGCCCTGCTTGTCGCCCTCGTGGCTCAGGGCGTGGTCCTGGTAGCTCAGCCTGTGGCCCTCGTGGCTCTGCTGGTGGCTCTCCTTGCTCAGCAAGTGGCCCTCGTAGTTCAGCTGGCGGCCCTCGCAGCGCTGCTGGAGGCTCTGAACGCTCGGGCGGTGGCCCTGCCAGCTCTGCTGGTGGCTCCATGAGCTCTGCCTGCGGCCCTCGTAGCCCAGCTCATGGCCATCGTGGCTCAGATGGTTGCTCTCGAACCTCTGCCTGTGGCCCTCGAATCTCCGCTGGTGGCTCCCGTATCTCAAAAGATGGCCTTTGAAGCTCTGCGCGCGGCCCTCGTAGCTCAGCTTGTCGCCCTCGTAGCTGTAGAACAGCACGTGGCACTTGTAGCTGAGCGGGTGGTCCTCGAGACCTGCTTGTGGCCTTCGTATCTCAGCACATGTTCCTGGTTGCTCAGCCAGTGGCCTTCGTAGCTCTGCTGGTGGCTCTCGTATCTTGGCGGGTGGGCCCTCGTGGCTCCGCTGGTGGCCCTCGTAGCTCGGCCAGTGGTCCTCGCAGACCTGCTTGAGGCCATTGTAGCTCAGCGCGTGGTCTTGATAGATCAGCATATGATCATCATAGCTCTGGCGGCTCTCCAAGCTCAGCTGGTGGCTCTTGAAGCTGAGCTACTGGACCTCGAAGTTCTGCCTCTTGCCGTTGTAGCTCTACCGGTGGCCCTCGGAGTTCAGTCGGTGGGTCTTGAGGCTCTGCTTCTTGCCGTGGAAGCTCTGCTGGTGACCCTCGAGGCTCAGCTGGTGATTCTCGAAGCTCTGCCTTCTGCCGTCGAAGTTCTGCTGGTGGCCCTCGAGGCTCAGGCAGTGGCTCTTGAGGCTCTGCTACTTGCCGTTGAATATCTGCTGGTGGCCCTCGTGGCTCAACTGGTGGCTTTCGAAAACTCTGATGGTGGCCTTGGTGGCTCTGCAACAGCACCTCGAAGCCGTGCGTCTTCCCGTCGAAGCTTTGAAGGTGTTCCTCGTAGCTCTGCTGATGGTCCTCGAAACTCTGCTAGCGGCTCTCAGAAATTTGGCGTGGTGGTTGGCAGGGAGAGGAGTCCGTACGCGGCGTAGTCGTCGTAGCCGTTGTAATCGTTGTAACTGTTTTAGGCGTCGTAGTCGCCATCGTCGTAGGCGGCGTTGCCGTGGTTCATTGGTATCTCCAGGACGGAGCGATTGGTACCCCCCTCTGGCTGTTCAGCCTTGTCGGGCCTGGTGTCGTACTTTGTGTTGCCGTACCTTGTGTCGTACTTGGTGTCGTACTTGGTGTCGTATTTTGTGTTGCAGTTGCTGTCGCGCTTGGCTTCGTAGTTGACGTTCATACTTGACATTACTTGACGTTCGTCATGGCGGCCACCATGGTGGATATGTCGCTCCACTCCATTTGGGGATCACACCAAGCTGCACCTTGTGTAACCAGCCTGCGTGCCGCAGCTCGCAGCGGCCCGTAACATTCATATCGTCGCCAATTCTCCTCGCAGTCCTCTTGGCTGTTGGCGCCCGCCGTGCCGCCATCGCGCGCCGGTGGCCAGCAGGCTGAGACCGGACCCGCCGCCCCAGGGCCCCGAGTGCGGGGGATGGACCCCGCAAATGGCACTCCTCCTTCTGCTCATCCTCCTCCGCCTCCTCCTCCTCAGGCCTCCTCCTCCGCCTCGTCCTCCGCCTCCTCCTCTCCTCCTCCTCCTCCTCCTCCTCCTCCTCCTCCTCTTCCTCCTCCTCCTCCTCCTCCTCCTCCTCCTCCTCCTCCTCCCTCCTCCTTCCCTCCTCTTCCTCCTCCTCCTCCTCCTCCTCGCCGAAATAGTTCTGGTCCAAGCCGCACCCTCCTGCCCACAGCCTTTTCCAGACTCGTGGCGGAGATGGCGGGTGGGCGTGTGAGAGGCTTGGGATGGCTCGGGCTGGCGGCGGCGGCGGCGCTGCGCACGGGTGCCTCCGGGGCGCTGCGGGGGCGCCGCGCGCTGCTGCTGACAACCGCGTCACGAAGCTCTGGAGGGAGAACGCCCTGTCACCTGGCATTGCCAGGAGGCCCCGCGGGCGGCTCGGCGGAGGAGGAAGCTGCCCGCAGAGGGGCGTTGGCGCGCTCGGTTCTTCGGGCGAAGCTGGCCGGGGCCTCAGGGCTAGTCGGGCAGCGCCTGGTGGGGAAAGTGTCCCACCAGGCTGCCGAGTGCCGGGAGGCCTCTGTGCCACTTGCGCGATGACACGAAGCGCAGCGAGGCCCTGGGCCCAGAGCCAATGGCAACGGCAGGGCGGCCTTCGTCGGCGAGCCAGCAGTCCAGGCGGTGCCGCAGCTGCTGTGCAGCGGATTGAAGGCGCCGTTCCTTGGCGCGGAGGACGGCAATGCATGGCGCTCGTCTGTCCTGGAGATCTTCACGCAGACTCGGGTATGCAAGCAGGTGCAGCTCTGTGCGGACGCGGGCGAATCTATTCCCGCGGCGGGACGCTGGGAGGTTATCCCTCCCCTCGGCGTTCGCTGCACATGCGGTGCGGTGGCCTTTGGCACTGGCCGCGCGCATGGGGAGGTCTTCTGTTGCTGGGGTACGCCGAGCTTTGGTGGGGAAGCGCGTGCCCAGCATCCCCCAGGGACAGCGAGAACGTCGGCTCCGCGGAGAAGCGAAGCGGTCACGAACACGCCGGTAAGTAAGTACGACGTACAGGTGTGGGAGGAGAGCGCGATGGAGGAGAAGGGTAGAAGCCTTCCGCCACGACTTGTGTCGCAGCGCGAGGTCACGGCTCTGCCCTGCGTTCCCTACAATCTACGCTCCACGCTCCCGTGTGCACTCCTCTCTCGGGGCGGGCAGAGAATAGGCGACAACTGTCCGTCGTATTCTCTGTTTTTCGAGGGCGGGAGGAAGCGTCTGGGAGCGGCCTCTTGAAGTCTCTGCAGAACGTGAACCCCCAAGGTCTGGGCCTCTTCCCCAGAAGCGCCTGTTCATCCCGAGTCATTGTTAAAACGGCCCTGGGGCCCGGCGAAGGTCCCGAGATGCCGAAAATTAGTAAGAACCTCCCGCCATTACCTGTTCTTTCGCTTCAGGCCCCCAGTTGGGGTCCGAATAGATGGGCTCGGAGGGTCGCGCCGCATCGCCGATGCATCGCCGATGCACTGGCGACGTCGGCGGTGCATCGGCGACGCCAGAGTGGAGAAACCTGGGCTCTACATCGCGCCGCATCGCCGATGCATCGGCGATGCGGCGCGATCCCCCGACCCCATTTGCTCGGACCCCGTCTGAGGAGCTTAGATTCGCAGCTACCGATACCGCCACTCCCCGGACCTCTCCCGGGGTGCGTTCTGACCCGAATTTCGAGGCGAATCCATCGGCGGCGACGAGGGCCTTCCAGGAAGCCCAGCAGGCGAAAACGATGGAAGGGTAGCAGTATGGGCGCCTTCTCCCCCTTTGACTGCTCTGGCATTCGGCAGCACGCCGCAGGGAGCAGGCCGCAGCACGATGTTGCGATCGCGGCGCTGGCGGACGCTGGCTTTCGCAGCGCTAGCGGAAGGGTCTCGGGCCGGGACCGGCCGAGGCCGAGGCCGGGGCCAGAACCGTGGCCAGGGCTGGGCCTGGACTGGGGCTGGGGCCGGGGCTGGGACCAGCCGCGGCCGGGGCGGGGGCCGGTGCCGGAAACGGTGATCGGGGCCGAGACCAGGACCGGGGGCCGGAACCGAGGGCCGGGAGCAGCGGCCTGTTGAAGTCCTTCTCGGGCAGGCCCCTGCAGATGATGTCCTCGCGCGCGCGCGCGGGAGCAGAGCGCCCGGGCCGCGCTCGCCGCCACCGGCGGCACGCGGCCCCCTGGTCGGAGGGGGAAGGGGGAGGAAGGGAGGGGGGAGGAGGTGGAGGAGGGGGAGGAGGGGGGAGGGTAGATGAGGGGGAGGAGGGGGGGAGGAGGTGGAGGAGAGAAGAAGGAGGAGGAGGAGGAGGAGGAGGAGGAGGGAAAGGGCGAGGAGGAGGAGGAGGAGGAGGAGGAGGAGGAGGGGGAGGAGGAGGAGGAGGAGGAGGAGGAGGAGGAGGAGGAGAGGAGGAGGAAGAGGAGGAGGAGGCGGCGGAGGACGAGGAGGAGGAGGAGGAGGGGGTGGGGGGGGAGAAGGAGGAGGAGGAGGACTAGGAGAAGGAGAAGGAGGAGGAAGAGGAGGAGGGGGAGGAGGAGGAGGAGGAGGGGAGGGGGGGAGGACGTGGATCGGAGGAGGAGTAGGAGGAGGAGAACGAGGAGGATGGGAAAAACGAGGAGGAGGAGGAGGAGGAGGAGGAGGATGGGGAGGAGGAGGAGGAGGAGGAGGAGGAGGAGGAGGAGGAGGAGGAGGAGGAGGAGTGGGTGGGCGAGATGGGGGAGCCAGGGCAGATGAGCGCAAGATGTTGGAGGAATATGGAGGAGAAGAAGGAGGGCCTGAGCCTGAACCTGAATCCCACCAGCCCTCTGGGCGACAGGTGGTCTAACGATGTCTTTCTTTCCTCTTCCACAACCAATTCTTCCCCTTCGGGGAAGGGTTTTATCACTGTTCCCAATTGATAGACACCCCCTCCCCCAGGCGACTGGTAGCCAACCCAGAACCATGCGGGCACTCCCCCACAATTCCCCCCCAACCCCCCCCCAACACATTTTGCCTCCAAATTTGGAGCATGCGCAGCCAACCCGATGTGGCCTCCCCCCACCATCCCTGTCAAAAAAAATATACAGAATATACTTGGCGGCGGCGGCTGCGGCGGCTGCGGCGGCGGCGGCGGCGGTAGCGGCGGCGGCGGCGGCGGAGGCGGAGGCGGCGGCGGCTGCGGCGGGCGGCGGCGGCGGCGGGCAGCGGGGGCGGCGATTTGGCAGCGGGGGGGCGGCGGCCGGCGGCGGCGGCGGCGGCGAGCGGCGCAGCGGCGGCGACGGCGGCGGCGGCGGCGGCGGCGGCGGTGGCGGCGGCGGCAGCGGAGGCGGCGGCGGCGGCGGCGGATTCGCCCCCAGTAGTTGCCCATCCAAAGACGACTGCTGAATATGCTGAGGCCCGGGCCAGATTCGGGTGCTACGTATGTGTTGTGAGGGCGGGAGGGCTTGCGGGCGGGGAGGGAGTCTTAACTCCTCCTCCTACCCCCTCCCCTGGACCTGGACGGGGCGCCCTGCGAGGTGGCAGAGGGTCATTTGTCGGCCCCTGGGAAGGCCAATGTTTGACACCCCTCACGAGGATCGTGGCCCCCCAGGGGGGGAGGCAAATCGAGGACCCCCCCTCCTTTGATCGATGATCTCCTAGACAGCCCAAAGAGGCGCTCCAGGGCTCCCAAGAAAGCCCCAAGACAGCCCCTCTTGGGCCCCAAGGGGATCCCAAGAGGGTCCCAAAAGGGCCCAAAGACGGCCCCAAGAGGCCCCCGAGCGGCCTCAGAGAGCCCAAGATGACCTCCAACATGGCTCAGATAGCCCAGGCTGGCTCAAGATGGCTCCCAAGATGCTCCAAACAGCCCCAAGACAGCTCCAAGAGCGCCCAAAGGCGCTCCAAGAGAGCCCCAAGAAGCGGTATGCGGGCTCCTGATGGGGGGAGCTGAGTTTGGGACCCCCCCATCCTGTAATCGATGGCCTCCAAGGTGATCCCAAGAGGGTTCCAAGAGGGCCCCCGAAACTCCCAGAGAGCACCAGCAGCAGCAGCAGCAGCAGCAGCAGCAGCAGCAGCAGCAGCAGCAGCAGCAGCAACCGCAAGAATACCTCTAGATGGTTCCATGAGTCCTCGTCCGCGTCGTCCTCATCCTAGTCCTTGTCCTCTTCGTCCTCGTCCTCATCCGCGTCCTCGTCCTCCTCGTCCTCCTCGTCCTCCTCGTCCTCCTCGTCCTCCTCCTCCTGCTCCTCCTCCTCTTCCTCCTCCTCCTCCTCCTCCTCCTCCTCCTCCTCCTCCTCCTCCTCCTCCTCCTCCTCCTCCTCCTCCTCCTCCTCCTCTTCCCCTCGCCCCCACGCGGCCCCCAAGGATGGCCCGAAGAGGCCTTCCAATGCCACCCCCTTGCTCCCAGAGATCTCTCGGTTCACCCTGGTTGCTCGCTCTGTTTCCCCATCTGTGTGTCTTCGTCCATTTTCCCATCAGCTCTCATGGGCAGGGTTTCTGACTGGGTTGGTGGGGATACTTGTTTGTCGCAACCGCAGGCGAAGGCGCCAGCGGCGAGTCGAGTCAGCTCGGGCTACGAGCGGAACTAATTGCCGGCGCGCGCGCGGAGCTAAGCAGGACCTACCGCCGAGGGAAGCGGCTGCGCCCGGGCTGCGCTGCAGCGCCGAAGGTGAGGACTGCAAGCTGCTGGGGCTGCCAGGAAGCTGCAAACGTGCGGGTACGATGGGAGCTGAATCACCAGGTATGTGACTTGGACCTGTTCGCCACAGGGCGCCAGAGGTCTGGGCAGCGGACCAACAGGGGACACGCCTGGCCGAACAAGAAGGCTGAACCACTCCTGAGTGAACCGGCGGGCCAGAGTCCCAAAGGGCCGGCGGACAGGGAACCAGAAGCCAGGGAAGTGCAAGCACTCGTGCCGGAACTGGTGCGGGTACCATGGGAGCTGAATCACGAGGTACGTAGGAGGACCTTGTCGCCACAGGGCGCCAGAGGTCGGTGCATCACAGACGTGGCGAAGCGCGGGACCACATGATAGCCCAGCGAGTGACAGCGGACCGACGGGGGACGCGCGAGTCCGTTCAAGAAGGCTGAACCACTCCTGAGTAAACCAGCGGCCATAACCCCAGAGGGCCAGCAGCACTGACAGACACGGCCAACTGTGGCAAAGACTGAGGACCAGATGCCAGGGAAGTGCAGACACTCACGCTGGAACTGGACAGGACGCAAGTCCCCAGAGCGCCTCAAGGCCGCAGCCGACTCCACGGAGCCGAGCGGGGGCCAAGCGCGAGGGACAGAGAGGCGTGAGCCGAAGACGTCACGCAGAGGGGCCAGTGCCAGGGAGACCGAGCCAGGCCGTGGCCAGGTCCGGGCACTGCCAGGGTGAGAACACCTACAGCAACGGCCAGGGCCGTAAGGCACGTCGCGCCCCGCCCCAGCTGGGCCTGCGCACCCGGCAATGACGGCGCCAGGAGGGCGGGCCCCCGAGGGCGGGGAGGCCGAGCCAGGTGCCGTGCTGGGGCCGACACTTGACGACGCTGGGCCAGCAGCGGGGGGCTGCAACCCGCCGCGGTCGGGCGCGGCGAAGGCCAAGGTGACGAGAGGGCCGCAAGCACTGGGGGCGGCTGTAACCGGAGACCAGGCGCTCGAGACAAGAGGCGTGAGCCGGAGACGTCACGCAGAGGGGCCACTGCCAGGGAAACCGAACCAGGCCGTGGCCAGGTCCAGGCAATGGCCAGGACGAAAACAACTACAGCCAACGGCCGGAGCCGCGAGGCACGTCGCCCCCGCCCCAGCGGGGGCCTGCGTACCCGGCATTGACGGCGCCAGGGGGCCCGGCCCCCAAGGGCAAGGAGGCCGAGCCAGGCGCCGTGCTGGGGAGGTCACCGGACGACACTGGACCAGCAGCGGGGGGCTGCAACTCGCTGCAGCCAGGGGCGGCGAACCCAGAGTGAGCACTGCTACAGCAGACGGGCAGGCCGCGCATCGGCACTTTGCGCCTCGCCCCAGCCAGGGCATCGTGCCAAGTATTGACAGCGCCAGGGGCCTGTTCCACAAGGGCGGGGGGCTGGCGAAGCGCCGTGTGGTGACGGGACCCGGTCGCGAGGGGCTGGAGAGATAGGGGCACGCATGGGCGACTGCGACAAACGGCTGCACGACCCCAACATGAGAACCTTTAATCTTTCAGCAAGTGAGGAAATCCTCCAGCGGCGGGCGTTTCTGCGCTGGGAGCACACTGCCAGGGAAGTGACTAACGGCCACACTGTCTGTGAAAGGAGCGGAACTGAAGTGACTAACGGTAACCCTTACTGGAACGTCGGCTTGATTCCAAACTATACCGGACGATCGATCGAAGCCTCCGCCGCATGGGTGTCCGTCTGCTGGTCTCCAGGGGGGGGCGACGAGCTGCCTGCGGCAGACGACCACGTGTTCATTCTCGAGCACTCCCTGAAAACCGCTGCAGCATGCGGCCGCACTTTCCGATACACACTCCTGCGGCTCTAACATGTGAGGCACGTCTCCGAGCGCGGGCGCGCCATCTGTAGCGCGCCCACCTGCCGCCGCGGCGCTGCCTCCAGGAAGGGGCGAGCTCTCGAGCGCCTATCTGGCCTCCACCGCACTGCTGCCCCAAGGGCGCTGGCAGGAGCGAGGAGCCGCATGGACGCCCGCTTGCCGGCCTCCAGGAGGGGGGGGGGGGGGGGGGCGACAAGCTGAGGCAGACGACGGCGTGCTCACTCTCGAGCTCTTCCTGAAGACTGTTGCAGCTAACGGCCGCACTTTCCAACGCACACTCCTGAGACTCTACATTGCGAGGAAAGCCTCCGAGCGCGGGCGCGCCCTCAGCATCGCCCCCAACTGTCGCCGGGGTCCTGTGTCCAGGAGGGGGCGCGCTGTCGAGCGCCTCTCCAGCCTCCACCGCACTGCTGCCCCAAGGACGCTGATAGGCGCGAGGAGCCGCTGGGCGCTCGCCTGCAGGTCTCCAGGAGGGGGGGGGGGGGGGGGCGACATGCTGCGGCGGACGACCACCTGTTCACTCTCGAGCACTCCCTGGAGACTGTTGCACCCAACGGCCACACTTTCCGATGCACAACCCGGAAGCTCAGTTTGTGGTGGAACGTCTCAAAGCGCGGGCGCGCCCTATGCAGCGACGCGAACTGTCGCCAGGGCAATGTTTCCAGGAGGGGCCGCGCTGTCGAGCGCCTTTCCGGCCACCACCGCACTGCTGCCCCAGGGGCGCTGATAGGAGCGACGGGCCGAATGGGTGTCCACCTGCCGGCGTCCGGGAAGGGGAACGGGCGACAAGCGGTGGCGGGCCACCACGCGTTCGCTCCCGAGCCCCCCCTGAAGAGCGTTGCAGCTAGCGGCCGCGCGGCAGACGACCACGTGCACACTCTCGAGCTTTCCCTGAAGGCAATGCAGCTAATGGCCGCGCTTTCCGGAAAACACTCCTGAGTCTCTGCCGGGAGGGTGAAGTATATCCGGCAAGGCGCTCCGCTGGAACAGCGCAAGAATGCAAGCGCCACATCCATGCGGATCAGCACTTTTCAAGGTGCCTGCGCGGGCAGGCTTTCCACGGCAGGGCGAGGTAGGACCAGGGCGAAACACGCTGCGCTGCGCGCGGGATCCTACAGAGACGTCGGGAAAAGCAGCGGGGCACGGTACCCCGCGCGAAGCGGCTCTGAAAAGACGGGCGCGGGCCCTGACAGCGCGGGCCGGAAAAAAGCCTTCAAAATATCCACCAATGGGGCGCGAAACATGCCCCGGCGGATTGGTGTATATATGTTGGCCAAATGTTGCAGGGAAAACACGCCAGAAAAAAATATACACCAATCGAAAACGCATGGGAATACATCCGCCAATCCCACAAAAAAAAAAAAAAAAAAAAAAAAAAAAAAAAAAAAAACTTTCGCCTGGAGGAGGGGGGGGCAGGACCGCGGGCACCAACGCTGATACTACACTCTGCACCAACGTCGCGACCGTGGAAAAACATGCCACACCGCATGCCTGGGCTGCAACTCGGCACCCCCTGTAAGCTCCCAAAAAATCACAATGGTCAGCTGAATGCATCACCTGATATATTGCGCGCTCCGATCTATTGGGTGAGGGGCGTCTCCGAGCGCGGGCGCGCCCTCTGCAGCGCTCCCAACTGTCGCCAGGGCGCTGTCTCCAGGAGGGGTGGCGCGCTGTCGAACGCCTTTCCGGCCTCCACCGCACTGCTGCCCCAGGGGCGCTGATAGGAGCGAGGAGCCGCACGAGTGCCCGCTTGCCGGTCTTCAGGAGGGGGAAGGACGACGAGCTGCGGCAGACGACCGCGTGTTCCTCTCCCTGAAGACTGCTGCAGCCGACGGCCGCACTTCCCGCAACACACTCCTGAGGCTCCATACTGTGAGGAGCGTCTCCAAGCGCGGGCGCGCTCTCTGCAGCGCTCCCGACTGTCGCCGGGGTCCTGTGTCCAGGAAGGGTGGCGCTGTCGAGCGCCTTTCCGGCCTCCACCGCACTGCTGCCCCAGGGGCGCTGATAGGAGTAAGGAGCCGAAGGGGTGTCCGCCTGTTCTGTCGCACTGTCGGTTTGTTGCGCTACCAGAGGACAATTGCAGCTGAAGGCTGCTCTTTCGGAAACTAAGTCCTGACTGTCACAATTGTGAGGAACGTCTCCGAGCGCGGGCGCGCCCTCTGCAGCGCCCCGGGCACCCCCAACCATCGCCGCGACAGTCTCCAGGAGGGAGCGCGCTTTCGAGCGCATTTCCGGCCTCCACCGCGAACCTGCCCCAGGGACGCTGATAGGAGCGAGGAGCACCATGGGGGCCCGCCTGCCGGTCTCCAGGAGGGGGAGGGACCGACGCGCTGCGGCAAACGACCACCTGATCAGTCTCGAGCTCTCCCAGAGGACTCTTGCAGCTGAAGGCCGCCCTTTCGGACACAAATTCCTGAGTGTCTGAATTGGGGGGAACGCCCCAGAGCGCGGGCGCGCCCTCTGCAGCACCCTCAGCCATCGCCACGATACTGTCCCCAGGAGGGAGCGCGCTTTCGACGGCATTTCTGGGTTCCTCCGCGAACCATTCCCAGGGACGCTGAAAGGAGTGAGGAATACGATGGGGGTCCGCCAGCCGGTCTCCAGGAGGAGGAGAAGTAGATACGTGGTGGCTGACAACCACGTGCTCGGTCTGCGGCGCTCCCAGAGGACTGTTGCAGCTGAAAGCTGCACTTTCGGAAACAAACTCGTGACTGTCAAAATTGTGAGGAACGTCTCCGAGCGCGGGCGCGCCCTCAGCAGCACCTCCAATTGTCCCTGTGGCAATATTTCCAGGAGGGGGCGCGCTTCGGGTCGCATCTGCAGCCTCCACGCCGACACTGCCCCAATGATGCTGGCAGCGAGGAGCAGCCAGGAGGACGATCCGCCTATGACGAGGAGGGGGAGGGACCGGCACGCTGTGGCAAACAACCACACGTTCAGTCTGAAGCTCACCCAGAGGACTGTTGCAGCTGAAGGCCGCACTTTCGGAAACAAGCTCCTGGCTGTCTATATTGCGAGGGACGTCTCCGAGCGCGGGCGCGCCCTCTGCAGCGCTGCCAACTATCGCAGGAGGGGGCACTGTAGAACGCCATTCAGGCGCCCACCGCAGTGCTGCCCCAAGGACGCTGAAAGGGGTAAGGGGCCAAGGGAATGTCGACCCGCCTGTCCTGTCGCACTGCCAGACCTGCCCGCAAAATTTCGTGCCCGCCAGGGTTGCCAGGATACGACGAGACACAACGTGTCTGCCAGGGGTGCCAGGGTAACGACAAACGGTCGCACTGTTAATACGTATCGAAGAGCACCGAGCTGGGGCACCCCCTCCTGCACGACAAAAGGCCGCACATCCAGAGTGACAGGGAGGAGCCTACGATAGTGTCAGAGTGGCGGCGCGGGGCCGCGATCACTAGAAAATCGGAAGTGCCAGCGCCCGCCGGCACCCGCAGAGCCCGCGGCACCCGCAGCGCCCGCGGCGCCCACGGCGCCCGCGGCGCCCGCGGCGCTGGCGGCGCAGGCGGCGCCCGCGGCGCCCGCGACGCACGCTGCGCCCGCAGCGCCCGCGGCGCGCGCACACGGCGCCCGCGGCGCCCGCGGCGCCCGCGGCGCCGGCGGCGCCCGCGGCACCCGCAGCGCCCGCGACGCCCACGGCGCCCATAACGCCCGGGCGCAGGCGGCGCCAACAGCGCCCGTGGCCCCGCGGAGCAGGCGGCGCCGGTGGCGCCCGCGGCGCCCAAGGCGCCCAAGGCGCCCGCGGCGCCCGTGGCGCGCGCGACGCGCGCGGCACCCGAGGCACCCGCGATGCCCGCGGCGCAGGCGGCGCCCGCGGCGCCCGCGGCGCCTGCGGCGCCCGCCGCACCCGCGGCGGCGGCGGTGCCCGCGGCGCACGTGGCGCCCGCGGCGCCAGCGGCGCCCGCGGCGCCCACGGCGCCCGTGGCGCCAGCAGCACTTGCGGCGCCGGCGGCAGAGGCGGCCGCTCACGCCGCAGCCGCCGCCGCGACACGGGCCTCCATCCCACGGGCCGGGGCGCGCACCTGAGACAGGGGCGGGCTCGAGCCCGGACGCCTTGAGCCAGCGGGGGCTACGGACGCTGGTGGGGATACTTTTCTGTCAGCAGCCGCAAGCGAAAGCGCAAACGGCGAGTCGAGTCAGAGCGGGCCGCGCAAAGACGAATTGCTGGTGGGGATGAGCGAAGCGTAAAGAATTGGAACGGAGGCTGAGGAGAAAACATACAGAAGGGAAGCGAGGGAGAACGGACTGTGGTAGTCGGCCGTGAAGCATGGGTGGAGGAAAGGGGACTGCAGTGGAGGGGGCCGCTGCTGACAGTGCTGCTGCGTGGCTTACCGCCGATGTGAAGGACGACCATCGTCTACAGCGTCCGGGACATCGTTTCAGCCCAACCACGCAGACAAGAGGAGGCCAAGGACCCGCTGGAGCCAAAGGGTCGCGAAGCATACGCGCTGGACACGTACTGGAAAGGTCATGAGGCATCAGCGGACGGTGGATGGAAGAAGGACGGGGGGCACAGGAAGTGCGCGAGAACAGTTGAGCATCGTTTAACCGATCCCAATCCGCACTGCCATAGCACTGGCTTCACTGACTGACTTAACCCCCAGATAGGGAGACATGGTGTTCCCTTCGGGTCTCGCGGGGCCTATCCGCATCTGGGGGGTGGGCTGGTGGGGCTGAGATACCGTGGTCCAGTGAGGATGGGGATCGGTCAAACGATGCTGAGTGAGAGCGGTGCCGCAGCCAGGGACCCCGGCGGCAGTCCACGGTGTACAAGTGGTACATGGTCACGAGGCCCGGGTACGACCCGCGCTCCATGACTTCCACCTGCTGCCGCAGTCTGCACGCGTCGGGCGTCTCAGAGCTGCTGTATTCGGTATATGCTTGTCTCTCGACCCCATGGGCAATCGGAGTTCGATTGGAGGGCACGGCTCTCTGGCATGCTAGGGCTGCCCTCACTCGCCGCGATGGCCGCTTATCGCAGTGAGTTGGCCAACTGTGGCCTGTTGCCTCACCCTTCCTCCTCTATTCTCCCCCATCCCTTCTCAACGGTGCCTTGACTGGCGTCCGCTGGCTCCCCAGGGCCAACGTGCACGCCGGGATAGAAGGCCCTGGGCTGCACCACTCCTGCGAGGCAAGACGAGACGCCACAGCGCCTCCTCCTCCTCGTTCTCCTCGAGGGAGAAGAAGAGGAGGAGGAGGAGGAGGAGGAGGAGGAGGAGAAGGAGGAGGAGGATCAGGACAGAGGAGGGGACGACGGCGACGGCGACGACGACGCCCACGGCGTCACCGACACACCGAGGGCGAGCTGGTCTGCGCCACTTTCTGCCTGCGCAGGGGGCCGGGCGGAAACAAGGCGCGGCAGGGCGGCACCGTTGCACGCGCACGGGGCCTCCCGGTTGAACCCCCCGTGCTGCGGGAGCGCGACTCTCCTGGACCCTCTCGGACCGGGCCGCAGCTGGGCCACAGACCGGCTCGAACTGCGCTCGCCCAGGGGCCTCTCGTGCCAGGTGCCTCGGCAGGCCTGGGGCTGCCCCCTCGAGGTCATGCCCGAGGGCCAGACTGTCTCGTTGGCATGGGGTGCGGGAGGAGCACGGACGAGGAGGACGAGGAGGACGAGGAGGACGAGGACGAGGCGGACGAGGACGAGGGCGAGGACGAGGAGGACGAGGAGGACGAGGACGAGGAGGACGAGGAGGACGAGAAAGAGGACGAGGAGGAGGACGAGGAGGAGGACGAGGACGAGGAGGACGAGGACGAGTCTTGTGGGGCTCGTGCTGTCTTCGACGAAGGGCGCGGGAGGAGCACGGAAGGAGGCACGCGTGGGCGGGGCGGAGACACACAGAGAGGGGCACACAGAAGCCAGCCGTCCTGCCTCCCGTCAGCGGCAAGCAGACAAAAAGCGAACCCGGAACGGTTGGGACGGGGCGAGGAAAACTCTCAGGCCAGCGGCGATAGGCACGGCCCACCACGAGGTCGAACGACTCTGCGGGCTGCGCGGGCGCGCGAGCTAGGCCCACCTCTCCACAGAGGCCTCCCAGATGGGGTCCGAGCAGGTGGGGTCGGAGGAACGCGCCGCATCGTCGATGCATCCCCGCTGCACCGGCGATACATCGGCAACGTCAGCGGTGTATCGGCGCCGTCGGCGTGGAGAAAACCGGGCTCTATATCGCGCCGCATCGCCGATGCATCGGTGATGCGGCGCGATCCTCCGACCCCTATCTACTTCGGCCCCACCGGTGAGGCCTGGGACATGGTAAGGCACGGGCACGAGGGCGGGGAACGGGCGGGGCAGGAGAGGCCAGGACCCACGCTCGGATGCTCGGCAGCTCGCCGCAGGGAGCAGGCCGCGACACAAGGTTCTGGTCGCGGCGCTGGCGGACGCTCAGCGCGGTCGGCGCCGCAAACTGGGCTGCGGCCAAAACTGGTAGTAGGGATGCGCGATAAGGATGCAGGCCCAGTGGACGCCCGTGTTGAAGACTGCTCGAGCACGGCGGGCCATCGAAAGCAGCCAAGCATGGACCAGAGAGGCACGGATGCAAGGGCACCCTCGGGGGAGGTGACCCACCCTTACCATCGGTTTCCACTGCACGCGATCGTGAACTGAGCACGAGAAGCGGAAGCGAAGAGGGGGCCCAGGCCACGACGCGCAGGCGCGCAGATAGAGCGCACGGCCACGGGCGAGGACGGACACCAGAGCCACGGGCACGGGCACGGGCGCGGGCGCGGCTTTCCCCAGAGGCCCAGGCGGCACGACAGGACACGAAGAGACCGCACTACACTGCGCCACAAAACACGGCACGACATGGCACCGCACGAGAAGATAGAACACGGCCAGGCAACGCAACGGGCAGGCACGGCAAGACAGGACATGGCTGGACAAGACAGGACGTGATGGGACGGGAGAAGACGCCACGACACGGTAAGGACGCAGGACCATCCAGCACTCAGGGCAAGCAATCAGAGAAAGACAGAACATAGCCACGAACAACAAGCTATAGGCAAAGGGAACACAAAGGCGACAAATGCACGAGCACGGACACGACGAGGCGAGACTGCGCAAAGAAGGCAGCCAGGAAAAAACACGGGCACTGCGCACGAGACAGCCCCGCAGAGCACAGGAGGAGGCATGGAGACGCAAGAGAGGGAGGGACGGTTGCGAACCAGGAGGACGAAGTGCATGCACAACCAGCCTGCAGAATGCGAGCCCGTGCCTGTAAGCGTGAGGAGGGGAGAACGGACATAGCCGGCCGCGTACATTCGCCCAACAGGCCAAACAGGCTAGAGGAGGGGAAGTCTGACGGACCGTTCGGGAGAGGAGGTAGAGTCTTACGGCCGTTCGAAAGAGGTTGGTAGGCACAAGACGCAGGAAGTCGGTTAAAGTAGAGTGAAGTTCGGCCCGTCCATGTGAGTGGCGGTTAACGTGGGGAGCCATCGACGACTGGAAGCAGGAAGGCACTCAAAGGGTCTCGGTTTCTGGTGCAATTCAGAAGAATGCACCTGCAGTCAACGAGAGGCCCGAAAAGGAGAGGAGCAGAAATCCGCCGACACTGTCGGCGTGTGGGAGACGCTATTCCAGTTGCTGTTCTCGTCGTCGTCGTCGTCGCCGTCGCCGTCGCCGCTGTCCTGCCTTCACTTAAGTAAGCCCGTCACAGAATTGTCCTACGCCCGTCGCAGCATTCCCCCTCCTTTCCCTGAGCCCTCCTCTTCGAGCTCGCTAGCCAAAACGAAAATAAGTATTGTCGCTATTGGGTCGAAGGAAAGACCTTCTCTTGATCACTTCCTGGCTGGGGGGTCGGGGGTCCCGTGGGGGGTCCCAGCGGGGGGGGGGGGGCGGGGGGGAATCCTGGGTCAGAATACCATCCTCCCCTGGTGGAGTCTGGGGCCCAAACAAGAGTGCCCCAAGATGCCCCCAAAGACTGTCCAAGAGGGCCCCGAATCGCCGAACGATCGGTCCAAGACGCACGGCCCAAGAGGCTGCCAAGACGCTCGAAGAGACCTACAAGATCCAAGAGCACGCCAACGGGGCCACAACAGGCAGAATTCAATAATGGTCCTCTCTTGAGCGAGATTCTGGAGTTCTCACCTGTTCAGCGCCCCGACGCCCCAACACGGCCCAAGATGCCACCAAGATCACCACAAGAGGCCCCTAAGAGACTTCCAAGACGACACAAAAACGACCCAAGACCTGGAGGGGACGCCCAACAGGTTTTGCTTAGCATGGCCCCGGGGCTGTTTCAGGGCCCTTGACGGCCGCCAGCGCGACCCATTGTCAGCGTTTTGTCGGCGACCCCGCCGTCGTCTGTCAGCGCTCTGTCGGCAACCCCGCCGTCGTTTGTCAGCGCCACCCGCTATCGTTTGTCAGCGGTTTGTCGGCGGCCCCGCCGTCGTTTGTCAGCGCGGCGTCGGCGACTTCGCCGTCGGTTGTCGGCGCTCTGTCGGGGGCCCCGCCGTTGCCCGCCAATGCTTTGTCGGTGGCCCCGCCGTTGTCGGCCACCCAGCGCCCTCTTGCGAGCTCGACCCGGGCGCCCCCCACCCCCCACCCCCGCGGTTGCCAGGCAAAAAAATCAAACGAAGATTCTCATCCGCCACCTCTGCCCCCCCCCCTCGCCATCTCGCCCCCGCCCCCACCGACGCCCCCGCCTCCGGACCTCCGCCCGCCCGACCAGAGGAGAGGTGAGAGGTGGCAGGTGGAGCCGCTGCTAGGCCAAACGCCCCGCGGACATCCCAGGACGGCCCGGGACCGAACTGACAAGCCATAAAACATACAGAATGCAGAATTCGGGGGACACCAACATCATCATTATCCTGTCTCCTGGGGCGGCGGCGGCGGCGCGGGGGGGTGGCCTGGCGAAGTCCACGGCGAGCGTCTTCGCTCTGCAGGTCTCTCTCGTCATCTCTCTCGCTCTCTCTCTCTCTCTCTCGCTCTATCGTTCGCTCTCTTTCCCTCTCTCTCTCTCTCTCTCTCTCTCTCTCTCTCCCTCTCCCCCTTTTTGTTGGTGTGTGTATTCCTCCATCTCTCGCTCTCTTTCTCCCTCTCGTGCTCCCTCGCTCTCTCTCTATTATTTCTATCTCTCTTTCTCTCTCTCTCTCTCTCTATCTCTCTCTGTCGGTTTGTCTGTCTGTATGCATGCATGTATGTATGCATGTACGTCTGCATGTATGTATGTATGCATGCATGTATGTATGTAGGCACGTATATTATATACATCCCTAGAGACCCCGAGAGCCCGAACCCCGAGACACCCCGCCGGCGCCCATGTCGACACGCCCCCCGCGCGGATCGCGGGCCGCTGCCGCGGGCCCAGCCAGCAGATCCCAAGTGACCCCGAGAGCCCCCCCCCAGAGAACCCCGAGCCCTAGACGCCAAACCTGTCGCCTCAGCGCTTCACGAGCTCACAATCTCGCCCAGGCAGCGCCGCCGAGCGACGGGGATCAAGCAGTGAACCAGGACAGGGAGGAGGCGGAGGAGGAGCGTCGACGAGGAGGAGGAGGAGGAGGCGGAGGAGGACCTGAGGAGGAGGAGGGGGAGGAGGAGGACGGGGAGGAGGAGGAGGAGGAGGAGGAGGAGGAGAAGGAGGAGGAGGGGGCGGGTATTCTGATTCAAACGCGTGCTGCGCAGTCCACTCCGTTGACTGCGGCTCATCTCCGAAAAACCACAAACGGAGATGACCAACCCTTGCGCCGCCAGGGCCGCTTGGGCAGTGGGCTCTGAGTCTGGCCGCCTGGCACCGCTACGAGCACCGCGGGCGAGCGTCCTGCCGCGGGGCCAAAATCCGAACCTCAAAACTAAAACAGTGCATAATTCTCAATGTACAAAGAGGAAGACAGCTGGTTTGCATGGTCTGGCCCCCGTTGGAACGTTGAACGTGGAATGTCAGTGGTGTGCCTCTCCCAGCCCTGGGCCCCCTGATCCCGGATGGCTGATGGCCAGATGGCCGGATGGCCCGGCCCGCTCCGACTCGAGCGCGGGCGTTGAACCCGGGCCCCGAGTAATTCTAAGCCACTAGGCAGAGTCTGGACGGAAGCTCGCAACTGAGTCAACTGGCTCCGACGCATCTTGCACGCGCGGGGTTGAGGAGGGAGGAGGCCTATGATCTATGATGGGGTGGCCAAGGTCACTTGGCCTGAACGTCTGCACTGAAGCGAAGCTGGCAAGGCAAACGCGGCAGAAGGCCAGCCCGGGCGGTCGACAGAGATGCGCGGGGACCTACTGCCCCTTGCGACGCCGCTTGCGGGCCGGCGCCTTCGCAGCCGCCAGCAGGGCGGTCGCGGACGCTAGACCCGCTGCCGCGTCGGATGCGGTCACCTCCGGGGCGTCGGCGTTCTCGTCCGCGCAGTCGTCGTCGTCGTCGTCGGCAGGAGCGGGAGCACTCCCAGCGATGGCCTCGATGCACTCCGTGCTGGCCACGGCGCGGGCGATGCACGAGTGCGGCGTCATCAGACCGCCGTAGAGCGCAGTCGACGCCACTGCCTTCTTGACAAGGAGCGAGCGCTCCTCGTCTGCTCGCAAGGGGCGCCACAGACTCACCACGTAGGACATCGACCCGCACAGCTTCGCACTCCTGAGCGAGGCTGGCGGACGGCGCGGGCTGCGGGGGGGCTACGGCCTAGGACATGGGCCATGGGTGACATGGGCGGAGCTGAGGACGGACGGCTCGGCATGCGCGAGTCGGGAATCAGCATCGATCGGGCTCGTGCGGTGGAACCCGGGGCCCCCAAAAAAACAAAACCCAGCCTATACACCGCTAAGCCCTTGGCCTTAGCCTTAGCCCGTAGCCTAAATGCGTTGGACAGGGGAGGGGCAATCGGGCGTTCGACGTGTGATAGGGCCCCTGACGCACGATCAATCACCGGCCTTCGAATGCGCATGGTGGGGGCTTCACGGCTTAAGGCCCTATAAGGCTTAAGGCTTAAGTAACTAAGTAGGGCTCTACGGCTTAAGGCTTAGGCTTGAGGCTCATGGCTTACGAGCTCAAACCGTCTTTGACAATCCCCCATCCCCTCGTTCCCCGCCGTCGCGGCATCGTCGCTAAACTCTTTTTCATGTCCCACCCCCCACCCATCTCGGATCCCCTCCCTCCCTCCCTCCCTCCCGTCATCACTCATCGCTCGTGTCATCATCCCTCGTCCCAGCCGTTGGTTCGGACCGCCCCGTCCTGACGAGGATCGGATCCGTCTCGAAAGGCACGATCACGTCCGACGGCGCGTAGCCAGCAGTATTGCCCATCGCGGTCAACGCCGCTGAGAGCTTCTTGCCAATGGAGCTCGGCCCGGACACCCACTTCACAGCGTCGAGAAGCATCTTCGTGGCTGGCTTCATCACCTCTGGGTAGATGTCGTCGCGGTGGTCGCGAGAGAGCACCGTGTCGTTTGCGCCCATCGCCACCAGCTTGGATTCGCAACCACGCAGGTCATCCAGGTGAACCTGCATGTTCCCAATGACGAGCTGCATGAACTGAACTGCGACGGTGCCCACCTCAGACATGAGCTGACAGGTCTGCCCGGACAAGACAGACTTCAGGATGCCGCATGTGGTCGCCATCGTCGAGATCGACTGCGAGGCAGATGCGTCGTGGTTGGCATCAGCGTCGAGCCATGCATCAGACAGGGTGGCAATGTCCTTCATTGCGTCAGCAAGGGCGGCAATGCTGTCCAAGGCCGCTAGCAGCGCCTCCGCCGCAGACGCCTCATGGGGGAGGGGGCGTGAGGGACGCTGCAGGCTATAGGCTATAGGGGGCCGGGCCCCCTAAAACGGCGAAGCATTTTAGGGCGATCGGCCCGCCTGAAACGGGAGGGGCCGGCCCCCCTAAACGGCGAAGCATTTTAGGGGGACCGGTCCCCTTTAAACGGGAAGCATTTGGCATTTTAGGGGGACCGGCCCCCCTAAAATATGAGGGGCACAGTCCCCGTAGAAATCGCGCCCGTGGGGGCGCAGGGATCGGGGTCGAAGAGGGGTGCTCCCCTTCCCTTCCGTTCGCGGCTCGACGATCCCCCACCTCGGCCGCCTTCATTTACCCCCGGCCCCTTGGTCAGCGGGGGGAGCGGAGGGGGGGGGGGCGGAAACGGGGGGAGGGGTCGTCGAGCCACAACCAGAAGAGAAAGCCTGGGAGCCGAGAAAAAGGTCCTTCGCTGCATCATCATCGGCGCAGTCACGCGCGGCGTCCACCTTGCCCGTCGCCTCTGCAAGCAGACTGGTCGTGCGCAGCCGGGCGACATTCAGCTGGTAGACGGTAGGCGCGCACATGATCCCGTCGATAGACACATCGAGCGGGGCATCAGAAGCAACATGCGCATCGGAGGCGACGCTGACGTTGTCCCGTGAATCATCTGGGCCATCTGGCAGAGTCTGAGCGGCAGATGCTGGAGCGACACCGCACTTGTCGCTGGCGAACGGGACCTTTCCCAGATCAAGGGCCGGGCGAATAGATGTGATGTAGTCAGTGGCCAACTGAACCAGCTCCTTGACTGTCGCACATGGAATAGATGTGCCCCACTTAGACATGCTCGCAGCGAGTGTGCCTGACAGCTTCTGCGCGCACTTGTCCGACATCTCGACCTCGCCGAGGTCACTGTTGGACAAGATGTGGAGCAACGACACAAACGCCCCCCCCAGCTCGAGCCCCATCTGAGCCATCAGGACGAACTTATTCTCCTTCCACATCAAAAGCCTGAACACCCTCCGGCGCGAGTGCCCAATAACGGCAGTCTTGAACGCAGCGGCGCCAGACACCCCGAAGTGTGACTCGAGCTGGACGTACCCCGGGCCAGACAACAGCTTGATCAACTTCAAGAAATGATCTGCGAACAGGTCCGACTGGGTGGACTGCGAGATGCTGCGAAGCAGGGTTGGGGCTGCGTTGCTGATGGTGTCCAACAGACTGGACGCACTGGCCTGCCACTCGCCGTACTCTACGATGAGCGCTGCCAAGACCTCCGACTTCATTTTCTTGGTGTCGGTGAAACGCTGCAACTCGAGCTCAGCGATGCTGGGCGCGCATGCTGACCGCATGCGCATCACCCGGAGGACCAGCGCCTCGGCATCCTTCGACGTCATGGGCGTCGAGCGGCCGATGGCGGCGGACAGCGCCACGTGGAACTCCGAGACCGACTCCGTGAACTTCGAGCGGACGGCTGCGAAAAGCTGCTCCACGGGGGCACACATCGTCGCCTCGTAGGCGCGTAGAGCCTCGGAGTTCTCTGACGTGAACCGTTCTGTCGCATTACTTTGCAAGACCATCCACCGCGCGAAGGCATCTGTCACCTTGCCGAGGAAAGCGGAACTGAAAGTAACTGGTGCCTTCTCTGGCTCGATGTCAACGACGATGTCCACGCCGATGGTCGGCGCGGCGATCAAGTCGACCTTCTCCCGGACCGCAACCATCTGAAGCCGACAGCCAGCCTCCGCGTTCACCGCGGCCTTCTCGAGGTCACACGCCGCCACCAACTGGATGCCAGTGGGGAAGAGCTGGAGCGCCCGCGCGAAGCGGGCCGTGTAGTTGGCCGCACCTAGGGTTGCGGCAAGTTCTCATCATCGCATCCGCCAACCCCTTCCACTATCCACCGCCACCTCCACCACCGCCCCCCTCCCATCCACCTCTACCTCCACCGCGTGTCCGTCCGTCGTTCGCCTCCCCGCCCCCCAGCCCCCTGCGCTGGCGCGCAAACGGATCTCCCGCCCAGGATCGAGTCGAGCCAGATCGAGCCGCGAGGTTCCCGTGGACCGAGACATGGCCCGTCTTGAGGGCCGACGGGTGCCCCGCTGCGCGAAATCCGCCGACGGCATTGCAGCGGTCGGAGGATGGACGGGGGGGGGGGTAGCAGCAAAAATATCACTAACCGTCTGGGAGGGCACCAAGTTAGGAGGGCCAACAACACGGGGGGTGGGGGAACCAACCCACCCAGAATGATCGCCCCTTATTCGAAGGCGGGGACCTTGTGTGAGGCATCGCTGTTATGTTAGATGTTAGTAGGGTTAGGGCCTATATGGGGTTAGGGGTTCGATTATCCCAGATGGGGGGGGGGGCTCGATTTCCCGAAGGGGCCTGGGGCAGTCATGCCCGTCTTGATGGCGTAGACCGCCTCCACCACGTCCGCGGGCTGACCCCTCACCAATGCGATCTTGCAGAGGTTCAGCAGGTCCGCGGCGAAACCGCAGGCGGCCACCTTCGGCTCAGCTCCGCCCCCGCTCGGCGGCAGCCGGGCCGCGGCGTAGGCCGCGAGGCCGGGCGCCATGGCCCTCAGGCGGCACGGGGCGGAGGGCAGTGGAGGGTGGAGGGCGGGGCGGAGAATGAGAAGGCGGAGAGCGAGGGGGGGGGTGAGAGCGAGCAGGACGACGACGACGACGACCAAAGATCAGCTCGGGAAGTTACGACGCGAGGGTGGCGGAGAAGGGGGAGGGCTGGGGGAGAGGGGGGGTGAGATGAGGGCGAGGAGAAGGAGGAGGAGGCGGCGGATGGCCGAAGGAAAGGAGGGCGACCCTGGGCCGAGGCTCTGAGGCAGCCAGGCAGAGGGCAGAGGAGAGGATGAGAGGAAGAGGAGGAGACGAGAAGGAAGATGAGGAGGAGGAGGGGGGAGGGAGGAGGCAGGAGTCGGAGTGACCAGGGGGGGAGGTGGGAAGAGGATGGGGGAAGAAGAGGAGGGCGGAGGAGGGAGAATGACGAGGTGGGTTGCATTGCACGCTGCCCGCTAGCCTCACGACATGCTCCTTGGACTCCTTGCGCAAGAGGTCCAACAACGCGTCGGTGATATACATCTCGCGGAACTTCTCCAGCTCAACCTGGTCGAAAGACTGGAGCAGGTCCGCCGGAAAGAAGTGCGGGCGCTCCACGATAGGGAGCCAGTCTGCATATTGTTCTGCGGCCAGGCACGCATTCGCAGCAGACACCCAGGCTTTGTAGACGAACGTGGGCGCGGCCAAGAGCTTCCCGCCAGTCGACGCCGAGACGAGCTCGGCAGCGGCGGTGGCGAAATTGGCGGAGTTGAACGGCTCGGCGTAAGCTGCGTCAACGTACGTTGCAACGGTCGTCAGGCACTGTTGGAAATGTCGGACCTCCGACAAAATCGTCATGCCAGTCCGAGACGTGGTAGCGGACGAGTAGTCCTCGCTGTATAAATCGATCAGCGCGGGCTTGCACCTCGCCTTGAGCTGGTCCACTGTGGACCACAGCTTGGAGGAGACGTCCACTGCAGTGTCGGGGTTGCCGACGTGGCTCAGCACTTGCTTGGCGGCGAGGATGACCCGCTCGCTGTGGTCCATCTGGGCCTGCTTCTTGGTGCTCTTCTTAACCACGCGCCCCGCGGCAGAGGCAGAGGCGGCCCCGGCAGCGCCGCCGGCGCGCGGGGGGCCCGCCGATGACGGAGCTGCTGCTTTCCTGCCACCTGCCTTCTTGCACAGAAACTGGAAGTCGGACCCGAAGACGTCGCCCATGCCATCCTCCCCGCAGCTCGCCGGCTTCGCTTTGAACTTGAAAGTGGCGTCGGCTCCAGGGCCGCCAGAGCTGGCGGGGTCGAGCGAACCTTGCTCGCGGGTGGCGATGCACGTGAGGCGGGAGCGGATGGAGCTGAATATCTGCTCGACGAACTCGCCACCCCCGCCATTATTGAGCCTCGTGTTCATGGTCAACTGCTGGACGTCGGAATCGTTGAGCCGGATGCAACCGATGGGGGCCCCGAACGACTCGTCCTTGACAACGCCTTTGTACGTGATGCCCTTGTGCTTGTGCGTCGTAATCTGCGACTTGGGCGGCTGATGCTTGAACTTCTCAATGCACAGTGGGAGCGGCCAGAAGATGCCGAGAATCATCTCGGACCCGACCGACACGACGTTCTGGGTCGAGAGTTCGATGTCCATCTGCAGCGGCCCCGGGATCATCGCGCCGGCCCGCACGACGCACTCCGCGGGATTGTTCCGCTGGTCCTGGCACGGGCAGATGCGACTGGGAGGGGGAAGGGCAGGGGGGGGGTCGGGAAGACTCCGGGGGGGGGGGCGCGACGAAGGCGGGTTGCGGGCGGGCCCGTGACAATACCACGACAATACCCAAACCCAAAAGCAAATCGCCCCCTCATCCTCCTCCTCCTCCTCAGCATCCTCCTCATCCTCCCACATACCGTAACCCCGCACGCTCCCCCGACGCTCATCTTTCTCCGCGTCCGATCCCCCGTCGCCAAACAAAGCAGCGGGCCCGGGGGTCCTCGTACAGAAGCACGACCAGCATGTACCGAAGCTGGTTCTCTTCCACGCCCAATTTCTCCAGCACCTGGGCCCGCGCGCAGCCCTTGTACCCCCACGGCAGGGCAGACCTGCACACGATGCAGTCGTTCGATCCCGGCCTCGGGGGGGCAGAGGACGCAGAGTAGGAGGACGCCGAGTGAGGGGCGGGGGGGGTCGCAGCTGATGAGCAATATTCGAGGCTAGGCCCTGGGCCCGAGGAGACAACAAGGTTCCCTGAGAGCCGTCCTTCTGGGGACCTAAAAAGAGCCCGCGCTCAGAGTGCACCGCGAGACCGCGGGGGCGCCGACGGGGGGGGGGGGGGGGACCTGAGGAGGAGGAGGGGGGGGGGACCTCAGGAGGAGGAGGAGTAGGAGGAGGAAGAAGAGGAGGAGGAGAAGGAGGAGGAGGAGGAGGAGGAGGAGGAGGAGGAGAAGGAGGGGGCGAGGAACGGCGAGGAGGAGGAGGAGGAGGAGGAGGAGAGCGGGAGGAGAGGACGAAGGACCAAGGAGGAGGTCAGGAGACAGAAGGACAAGAGGCGGCAAGGGTGAGGGGGGGGGGCAGCGCGAGGAGAGCGGGATAGAGAGGCTGAGAGAAGGAGGAGGAGGAGGAGGAGGAGGAGGAGGAGGAGGAGGAAAAAAGCAAGGATGGGGATGCTGCGGGCGTGAGGTCGCTGGCCTCGAAGGTTCGAGGAACGGCGACTTCCGGTGCTTGAGGGGCTGGGGCGTGTCCCTGTAGTAGCGCTTGCAGCACTCGCAGCGGGCGTCCTCAGTTGCGACGACGGGAGGGGCTGCGACATCCTCTGCCCCACCCAGCCCCCTACATGCCACTGCAGTCAACTCGCCCAGCGCGCGATAACAATGCAGGGTGGGGCCTGAGAGGGCCACGCTGGCAGTTTCCGAATACTATGCTGACGACGAACGATGCACGACAAAACTCGGGATGCACGGGTTGACTGTAGGCAGGCAGAGTGCGGGGGGGGGGGGGGCGCAGTCACTGGGCGTGATTGGAGGTGGTGCGAGCGATCGCCCGTCCTCAGGCGGCAGCGGAAACTCAGCTGTGGGCATCGGGCGAGGCATCTTGTCACGTGCAGCAAGGAGCTGCTGGATGCGACGCTTGATCACCTCGATGTCGGCGGGGTCCGAGGGGGCCCGGTTGGGCCGCGCGCCGCGGGCGGCAGCAGGGCCCCCGACCGCGTCGTGGCCAAGGCGGTCCAGCAAGTCAGACCCGGATGCCACGCTCTCAGCTGTCGAGTGGGGTTGCCGCCGCGCCGCCATCAATAGTAGTGACTGGGTCGGGCCAGGGAGTCGATGGCGCGAAAAGGATTGAGACGTGGTGTACAGGGCGCAGTGCAGGCGCCGAGGGCAAGGTATGTAACCAGTGCGCAGCAAAGACCTTGAGAGCAATACACAGCAACAAACATTCTACATCGCGCTACAGTAGGGGCCGATTGGCGAGGACGCGCGAGAGAACGCAAGACCCGTCCGAGGGCCACATTGCCACGCGAATGCAGAAGGTTGCAAGAACCTCAGAAGGCATGGGCCATGGGGCGTCAAACACAGGACACGAGGGCATTGGCAGGGTCGGCCTACTAATCAGCCTCGACTGTATCATCGCTTATCTCGCCCCCGCGGGTCTGCCATGCAGTGCTATCCCCACCCGGACTCTACCCGGATCGCAACGTGCGAGCATCTTCGCCCCCGAGGCTGTCGCGGAGGCAACGGAGCACGATTATGTTCGCGCTCTGGGTGGGGTCGCCTGATGATACGTTCAGAATGTTCAGACGAGTGAATGTAAGTGTGCCTATATATATATGTATTATGTATATACGCGTGTACGTAGGTTCTTGTTCGTGCATGTAGATGTCCGTGTGCAGCGTATGCATGTTTATGTGTATGTGCACCAGTCTTTATATATTTATGACTATGAATACCATGTGTGTGTGGCTAATCTCTCTCTCTCTCGCTCTTCTCTCTCTCTCTCTCTCTCCCCCCCTCCCTCCCTCCCTCCCTCCCTCGCTCTCGCTCTCTCTCTCTCTCTCTCTCTCTCTCTCTCTCTCTCTCTCTCTCTCGCCCCACCTGGCGCGCACGCGTATGTGTGTAGATCCCTAGAGACTCCGAAGGGCCCGAGACACCCCGGCGCCAATTTCGGCACGCCCCCCACGCGGATCGCGGGCCGCTGCCGCGGGCCCAGCCAGCAGATCCCAAGAGACCCCGAGAGCCCCGCCCAGATACCCAAACACCTATGTACACATTCATGCACCCACCAGGTCTCGCATGTTAATGACCTGGCAGGGTGCACCTCATCTCCCAAGAACTGGACCACCCAGACGCCCCAGTCTTATCTCATGCGCGCCTCTCCCCGGCGAGGCCGCTGCTCGACGGCAGCTTCAACGGCAGCATTGGGCGCGCGGCCGAGAAGGTCGGCGGAGGCCCGGAGGGGAGGGGCGGGCGGTCAATGTCAATGTCGTTGACACTGCAGCACCATGGCACATGCGACATGCCGTCCCAACGTAGCTACCTACACTGGTTACAATGGCACTTGGGACACGCGGGCTGCAATCCGGCGCGGCGGCATTGGATGTTGCGAGCTGCATCTGACAGGGGGGGGCCAGGTCACGTTTGAGTGGGCCCTCCAGAAGCTAGGGGCCAGGGCCGTAAAGAGCAGATGTTTCATGGTACCATTGGTATCATGTAGCCAACGCAGCATCCCCAGCCAGAATGGATTGCATCTCAGAAAAAAAAACTATGTCACTGTCTCTGGACCGCCTGCGCTGATCATCTAAAAGTGAGAACACCAGGGCTTAAACCTCACAGGCCCAACGTAGATTCACAATCTCTGAGCGCAACCGCCGACTGGCGCGAGCTTGGTCCGCGCGCTGGCCAACGCTAGCCAGTCGACGGGGCCAGCCTAACAATGGCCAGCGGCACACGCACACCAGCAATCTAGTCGGCGTTCCACCAGAGCGTGGTCGATGATCTGAAACGGTCCGGGGGGCAATCCTACATGTTTCACGATCCTGAATCCTGAATAATACTCGTCCTATCATCCTATCCTAATCCACATCCTTCGCCCTTCGTATGATATCTTCCAAACGTATCATATCATATCCTCAAACTCCTGACCCATCGCATCCTGCGCCTCATTCTTCCTCCGCCCGTCCACCCCCCGCCCCGCGTCACGTGCCCCAGCACGCAAGCGGGCCCTAATCAAAAATATCGCCGAAATGGTCTGCCTGGATGTCCACAGCGGCCGGGTCATCGACGATGGGGTCTTGCGCGAACAGCGCGTGGTCGATGCGGGGCCTGACCACAGCGTGCCCCCTCATCCGCATGACGGCGGCCCCGATAGCGACCATGGAGGAGATAGCAGTGGCGGCGCACGATCCTGCTGGGGCGGGCGCAGGAGGAGGTGGAGGACGAGGACGGAGGGGCGTGGGAAAGGCGGAAGGAAGGATGAGCAGGAGTAGCAGGAGCAGCCCTCGAAACTGGCGACAGTCTCGGTGTCGCGCGTCCGAGCCCTCCAAAGATGGCGAGGCGCAGTTTCGCATTTCGCAGCCCATGGACGGCGAGGTGCGGCCCCAGGTGGGCCCTCGCGCTCTGAGCGCCTGGGGCTCCGCGAAGGCCCCGACAGAGCCGCGACGCAACGGCGAGGCGCAGCCCAGACCGACGGCCCGGGACCTGGGTTTGCTGCATCGCTGTCGTCGTCGTCGTCGTCGCCGCCACCCCCCTGCCCGGGGGGGGGGGGAAGGACGGATGAAGGAGAAGGGCGGCGAGACCGCAGGCACCCCTTTATCATAACGCCCGTGAGTCCTGCATGAAAGGCATTCCCAGCGAGGTCCTCGATGAAACGGTCCGAGAAGTGGTTGATCAGCTTCGCCTCTCCGCCCTCGCCGAAGTCAATGCCTTGGCACCGCATGCACTCGATGCCGAGCATGCAGCGACTGAGGTGGCTGATCCACAGCTTGTCGGTTGGGCAAATGCACGGCACGACCGCGGTGGATTCCTCTGGGAGACCGAGCTTCCCCCTGTTGCCAGACTGGGACAATTCGATCAACCGATGCTTGCTATCAGGGATGGGCACGCCCTTGAGCGCGAGCAGGTCAAACTCCCGGCGGCACAAATTACGCAGTCCTGGATACTGTGCACCGATTGACTCAAGGTCTGCGTCCATGAAGATTGAGGTTGACCGCCCACATTTCTCCCCGATGGCAGTGTGCATCAGCGGCCACTGGCAGGTCGGAACGGACTCCGTCCACGGCAGCGGCTTCTCCCTGCAGGCGTCCAGATGCTTCGCGAGGGCAGGGTGCGAGTCGCCGACGAGAAGCGACGCGATGGTGACGGTGTCTGTGGTGCAGAGGCGGTCGAGGACGCGCGTGACCCAAGAGTACATCTCCGACTCGGCAATGCCAACCTTAGCGAGGAGGGAGCGCCTGAAACACGGCATCCAGAGTCTCGTCCGCGAGACTGGCAGCTTGAACAGCCGGGGGTCGAGCTTTAGGGCCATGCTGAAGAAATCGGCCTCCTCGGACAAAATGTGAAAGGCGTGGGCAAGGTTCGAGTCGGCGACGTCGGGCATGCTGATACCGAGCACGTTCTCGAGCCATAACATCTCGCACCTCTTGTGTTTCTTCACCAACGATACGATGCCACCAAATGCAGAACCAGATTTCCCACGTTTTTGGGCAACGTTCTTCGTGTTTTTGCTGCGGTACCAGTTCTTCACGGAGAAATCCTTACACGGGAACCCTGCAATACAAATGTCGTAATCATCGGGCACTTCGCAAGAGGCGTCGGCCTCCCCCGTCGCGGCATAGTTCGTCACCTACTAGGATACTGGGATGGAGCAGTTCAGGACGCGAGGTTGGAGAAGCGATCGGGGGAAGGCACAGATGGGGGGGAGGATGAGGAAGGAGCTGGCTGAAGGAATGTATTGCAATAGACGGGTCGCCAAGCCCCCTCCAGCCAGGTCGCACGCGTCCCCGAAGAGCTTGGAGGTGTCCTCGAACATCGTGCGGATGAACTCCCTCGGGCGCGGACAGAGGGGCGGGGAGCGGCAGAGAGGCGAGGGGGGGTGGGCGGCCCCAGGGTAGACGGCCAGACAGCCCGCCAAAGGACGCGAACGGCGCCGGGGTGCGGGGGGGCGGGGCGGGCGAGGCCGCATTGGCCTATCGAGTTATCTCGCAACGTGGATTCATATTGGGGAGAGGGGGGGTTCTGGCTCGAGAGCGGGGTGCCCTAGGATCGTGGACAGGATGAGGATTGCACGTCCAGCAAAGCCTCTTGGCGGGCTCCAGCTCGGAGCTGAAGGCGTGCCTGAACTGGCAGCGGACGTTGTCCCTGACAGCGTCGGCGCCGTTGCCGTTGCCAGCTGCACCACTGATAGTGTTCACGCGATCTGCGATCGCAGCCAGGACTAGGCGAGGTGAGTCGGTCCCAGCGCACAAGCACGAGAACGCAGGGGTGTTGCCGTATACTTCGAAGAATGTGCACATCGCTCGCTGCTCCGTGTTGTTCAGCTTAGACACCATCGCGTCAACTACGTGGGGCAGGTAAGTGCGCGGTGTCACCCGCGGCGGCCCAGGCGGCGTCAGCGGCGACCGAGCATCTTAGTATATACCGATCTGATACCACACCAACAAGTGGCACATGCTGCCACGTGATATCATAACCAACACAGTGCTGCGACACCTGAAGTAGGCTCCAAGAGAGCCCAATACGAACCCCAAGTAGCCCAAGTAGACTCCCGGATGCCCCTGGGTGCCCGAAAGGGGCCAGGAGCTGCGTCCGCAAGACATGTAAGTTTAGCGAGGGTGCGTGGTAGGGCCCCCAGAAGGCCCCCATACTGAAATTCAAACCGCATCGGGAAACGTTGCCCCCTCCAGACCACCAAGCGCCAATCGGCCTAGCTGGGTTTGCTTAGCAGTGCGATAGCCGTGGTAGACCAACAGGACCAACCAATCACGAAATCCAACGATCGGGACACAGTCTGGGGTTCAAGATGGGACGCCAGAGGATCAGTAAAACAAGTAGACGAGACAAGACACCCATGGCATACTGTTCTGGATGCAATCCCCTCGGGAACATGCAACTGAGATTCTCGAGCGGGCGGGGCGACATGCCAAGGATGCAAGGGCAGCCATGCCCAGGGAGAGGGGGCGGTCAATCAATATGTTGATCACCCACCCGCGTGAACCAATTGGACACTGAGGCAAGCGCCAGGAGCGCCGGATTGCCAATTCCCCCAGGCAGACGGCTGAAATATTGGGTACGCATGTAAACAAGATGACGCTGGCGAAAACGATGCCATTGGCCCATCGTCCAGCTCCTCGGCGGGGGCGTCTGCCGTCGGCGCGGGCTGGGCGCTGCCGGCAGCTGCACTGCTGCTGTCTGCCGCTGCGCCAAGATCGGGCTCGGCGGGCACGGGCGAACCCCGGGCGACGGAGCGGGGGCCTCCGGAACCGGCGCGGCATCCACCTCCGGGGCCGCGACGACCGTCTGCTGCGGCGCCGGCTGCGCCTCGCCAGGGGAGCAGCGCAAAGTGGTGGGGGGAGGGTGTGCTCTCTGGAACAGTGGGGTCGCATCAAGAGCTCATCGCGGGCCAACTAGTGGCCCGTCGGGGGCCGAGACCCCGCGCGGCACAACGAGACACCTACAGGGCCCTAAGGGGCCCATGGCTGACCCAAGCCCCGGAGCCGCCTCCGAGTGACCCGGAGACGGTCCAGAGCCGCCTCCAGGTGACACGGAGGCGCCCCGGAACCGCCTCCGAGTGACCCGGAGACGGTCCAGAGCCGCCTCCAGGTGACCCGGAGGCGCCCCGGAGCCGCCTCCGAGTGACCCGGAGACGGTCCAGAGCCGCCTCCAGGTGACCCGGAGGCGCCCCGGAGCCGCCTCCGAGTGACCCGGAGACGGTCGAGAGCCGACCAGGTGACCCGGGAGGCGCCCCGGAGCCGCCTCGAGTGACCGGGACGGTTCCCCAGAGCCGGCGCGAGAGGGACCAGACGGTCCAGAGCCGCCTCCAGGTGACCCGGAGGTGCCCCCGAGCCGCCTCCGAGTGACCCGGAGACGGTCCAGAGCCGCCTCCAGATGACCCGGAGGCGCCCCGGAGCCGCCTCCGAGTGACCCGGAGACGGTCCAGAGCCGCCTCCAGGTGACCCAGAGGCGCCCCGGAGCGGCCTCCGAGTGACCCGGAGACGGTCCAGAGCCGCCTCCAGGTGACCCGGAGGCGCCCCCGAGCCGCCTCCGAGTGACCCGGAGACTGTCCAGAGCCGCCTCCAGGTGGCCCGGAGGCGCCCCCGAGCCGCCCCTCGGCCCTCCTGGATGCGTCTTGGGGCCCGCTTGGGGCCCTCTTTGGCGGCCCCCGAGGAGCTCCGAGAGGCCCAAGAGGGCGTCTTAGGGGCCCTCTTGGGGCCCTATTGGGGGCCCAAGAGGGGTATATAACTAAGGGGGTGTGTTATATACGCCCCCGCGGCCCTCCTGGAGCCGTCTTGGGGCCGCTTGGGGCCCTCTTGGCGGCCCCCGGGGAGCTCCGAGAGCCCCATCTTAGGGGGCACTCTTAGGGCCTTCTTGGGGCCCTCTTGGAGCCCCAAGAGGGGTATATAACTAAGGGCGTGTGTTATATACGCACCCTGGGGGCTCGACGGTGTCTTGTCGGGGGCTTGTCGGGTGCCTGTCGGGGGCCTGTCGGGGGTATGTCTGTCGGTGGCTTGTCGGGAGCTTGTCGATGGCTTGTCGGGGACCTGTCGGGGGCTTGTCGGGGGCTTGTCGGGGGCTTGTCGGAGGCCTGTCGGGTGCCTGTCGGAGGCTTGTCGGGAGCTTGTCGGGAGCCTGTCGGGGGCTGGTCGGGAGCCTGTCGGGAGCGTGTCGGGGGCCTGTCGGGGGCCTGTCGGGTGCTTGTCGGGAGCTTGTCGGCGGCCTGTCGGGTGCCTGTCGGGGGCATGTCGGGAGCTTGTCGGGAGCGTGTCGGGAGCTTGTCGGGAGCTTGTCGGGGGCCTGTCGGGGGCCTGTCGGGGGTCTGTCGGGGGCTTGTCGGGAGCTTGTCGGTGGCCTGTCGGGGGCCTGTCGGGGGCCTGTCGGGAGCTTGTCGGGAGCGTGTCGGGAGCCTGTCGGGGGCCTGTCGGGGGCTTGTCGGGAGCTTGTCGGTGGCCTGTCGGGGGCCTGTCGGGGAGCGGCCAGAGGACGGGGGCCCGCCCAACAGGTTTTCGCTCGAGACATCCTCCAACCCAACAGGTTTTCACCTGGTCTATGCAACGCCCCCGCCCCCATTCACATAGACATGCGGTTTGCGAGGACCTCTCGAGTGAAAACCTGTTGGCCGCAGTCGTTCGGCGGCGGGGATGGGCCGTGCACAGCCGCCGCCAACAGGTTTTCGTTCGAGAGGTCCTCGCAAAACGCACGTCTATGCAGGGGGGGGGGGGTGCACGCATAGACACCTCGACAACCTGTTGGGTTGGAGGATGTCTCGAGCGGAAACCTGTTGGACGGGCCCCCGCCCTCGGGCCGCTCCCCGAAGCGCCCCCGACAGGC